CCATCAGACGCCTCCAAGTGGAATAATTTGATGAGTTCAATTTAATCATACCATATGACTGCTCCATTTCAATCATACAAGAAAACTAGCACCAAACAACCTGATGCTCTGATACCACTTGTTGGGAAGAAACCTGTTAATGCGGAATAATTCTTTTTCCTCTTTGTGTATCAAAATAGGTTCATCATCAAAATACCAACTTGATATCAAAATACTAATATCAATCAGCACAGCATAAACAATAGAGCAATAAATCAATCACACAGTGAGACCAAATCTTTTTAACGTGGAAAACCCAATGTGGGAAAAACCACGGGACCGTAGTCCACCTCAAACTTCCACTATCAATAATAATGATAACAGGTTTACAGTAGGTTTTCTCTAGAATAACTAGAGAATCAGAATAACATCAAGATCATAGATCTTGGCTCAAGGATAGCATATCTTCATCACGTAGGATGAATCTCCTCGAAAGAGAATTCTGGGTCTCACAGAGTGGATATCGTAGGAAAGTACCTTAGAGAGGGTAAACTGCAGATCAACACCGTTAGGATTGTAGAGTTTGCTGCAAGGATTCTCCACATAAAGTTTGGGCCGAAACTGACAACGTTTGGCCACATATCGTCAAACAGAAAATTCAGAAATCTTACTTTCTCTTTCTATTTCTCTCTCCTCTTTTCTCTGCACGCCGCAGCACGCACGCTGCAATCAGATCTACCTTCCTCACCTTCTCTCTCCTCTTTTTAATTTCTTTGATTTGTTGATTTGGGCTCAATAGGCCCAATTATCCAAGCCCACATATGGGCTGGACCCAACAGATAGCAATATGTTTCATGTAGGAGTGAAACACAAGATTAACACACAGATAGATAGCTCCGACATTGTCATAATATATTGTAGGAGTAGAGTTGATTTTGAGTTCTTTGAGCAGACCCAATTGAGTTATGCAGTGGTAGTGGCGATGGTATGGTATTCAGCTTCAGTTGTAGACCGTGCGACTATCTTTTGCTTTTTAGAGCTCTAACTGATTGGATTAGCGCTAAGGTTGTTTGCAGTTTAGATCACGCATTAGCAACAATCACACATGCAGAAATCAATGGAGCGATGGATCCAACAACTGAGGCTTAAATAGCTTAGAGGATGAGATAATCTTGACGCAACCACAGTTTGTGAGTTGGATTAGGTACTGGACTAGGTTCTCCGGGAATATTGAGCATGACTGGCTGACTGGCAGACAATTGAAGGAACCATCAATGTAACCTAGCAAGTCGTATCTAAATAAGAGATTAAAAAATTGAGCCCGTTAAGATGCATAGTTACCATCTTTTGATAACTTGAAAGGGATTAGTGTGGTTGTATTGATGGAGATAAGCCATGTAGGAGAAAAGTTATGAGTCCCTATAGAAATAGGAACTCGAATATGAAGATTACGAAGACATCCCCTTTCTTTTTATTTCTTTTTTTTTATTGTAGTGCTTTACGGTAGGGAGGAAGTCGGGGGAGGAAATGAGTGAGAAGAGTACTGCTACAACTGCAGATTGCTGTGCATGCTGCTGTAGAAGCTGCTGAAAACTGTTGCTACAGCGATGAGGAACCTGCAGTGATGCTGCAGCAATGTTAAAGAAATCTGCAGCGATGCTGCAGCAGGAGAAATTTGTGAGAAATCTACTAAAGCTCCATCGGCCTCAACGAAGGAAGCGGCAGCAGCAGCAGATGCAGCGAAAGCTGCTGCAGTAGAGGAAGTAAGATGCAGCGGCAGATGGAAGCGGCTGCTGCTGCAAGAACTGCAATCATTTCTGTGCGGCAAGGATGACAGCAGCGGCACTTCTCGCTCGAGCGAGATGCGGAAACAAGGAGGAGAGGTCACTGGCCGGGGAGCAATTGCGAGGACGGCGACCACCACGCTTCGGGGAGAAGGCTCTGATACCATGTTAAAAAAAGAGAGAAGAAATTACGAAGAAGAAGCTTGATTGTATTCATATGTCCCTCTTCTATTTATATAAGTGAAGAGTAAGAATTTTCCTTATAGGATTAGAGGATTGAATCATCTGCACATAAAACTTCTAACACTTGTATCCATTCCTCACTTTCTGTGGCAGTGCGGAAGCCATTCAATCCGTAGCATTCAATAAATCATCGCGTGCAAAAAGATAGTTGACAGCAGGAAGCAAAATTCTCTGTACTTTGTTATTCATGTTAAAATAAAAAAAATCATCAAATGTTTCGGTCAGTCAAAAGACAAATGTGGCATGATGTTTAATTAGATACGTTAGTGTTAACACAAAACTGTAGACGGGTGAGTCGGCTTGGTCAGTATACTGTCGAAAGTGTAGGTGGGAATCTCAACAGGGGAGGTGGTTTGCCATGGGAGCGATCTAGCCCTTATACGATGAAGTCGGGTTGGAGAATTGGGTTATCCTGCCCTGCTGGGTCACCTCTTAGTTGTTTCTTCGGATGGCGTCAAGGTCCCTGCACAACAGGTTTGTGTCGGGGGTATCCCGGTTTGACTATTCTAATGCTTAAATCAGAGAGTTGAAGGGGAAGGTTAAGAATGTAAGTAAGAGAGTCGAGAGCTCTTGCTAGCTTGTCCCAATTTGATCCATGGCTTGGCTTTTATACCCAGGCGCTAAGTGGCCTGGACGTATGTTTGCCAAGACCCCCTTTACCTTGTACAATGAAGACATTAATAAAGGTGATTTGTTGATGTGTGTTCTTTAATGCCTACGGCGGACTACTGGAGGGACGCTTTTGGACTGACTTTCTTATCCCTTTAGGTTATGCAAGGAGTGATCCCTTCATCAACCATTGGAAAGAAAAGACTAGTAAAAATTGACCATATCATTAGTCATTTATGTCGAGACATGATTTTTATTAATATATTAGTTAAGAGTGGGTCGTAGGTCCATTTCTAGACATGATCTCCTATTAACAATTATAAAGAGCAGTGGCTCTTAGACTTTTGCTTAGATGTTGCTTACATAGCAAAGGAGCTAGGAGTATTAGGATTATCTCTATCAATTAAAAAATAATAAATATAAATATATTTTGATGGAATTAAAAAATATAAAAAACCCCGAAGCATAATTTACTGTCCTAAGTCATAGTCTTCATACATGTTTCTTTAGAAAAATTGTTCCGAGATACAATCGATCCATCTACATGCATGCTCATGAAGGATCATTAAAGATGACCCAATACCAACATAAAAAATAAAATTGAATGTCCGAAGAAGAAGAAAGATGAAATTAGAGATTTTTCCTCTGATGAAGAACCAAACTTATATAACATCTAACATCTTTTGTCTAATAAGATGATTCCCTGTCGTGACTACGTAGGACTTATCATCTAATAAAATGATGTAATGTCGTGGCTCCATCTTACGGAAGCACGTCGCATGGGTGACAAAAAAAAAGATCGTTGCTATAAGGGCGAAAAGATAAAATAAAAAAGTCAATACATATTTAATCTTTTATGTGTTTGACTAAATAATCTTATCAATCAAATTAGTTAATGTCTTTGATAGCGAGTTATAAGAAGGAAAAATGATTTTACTCAACTCCGATGCGAAACTAAAATAAAATTAGCTAATTAATGATTTAACTTCAACTCTAATGTCTTTGATAGAGAAAATTTAGAGTTCTTACGTTAGTCCATTAGCAACCGCTCCAAATTTATGGGCATCGTCTTTTCCATCAATGTGGACCGATTACTTGTCCTGATGACCATCAAACATGTGATGATGTTGCTATAGAGAAGTCAAAGTCTTTACCGTGTGAATTCACACTAGGCATATCAAGTCAACTGTTAGTCCAAGGTACCCTCCCATGATCTATGCAATACCTCCACCCAAGTCGAGGGCAAGCCACACTGCAACGCATCTGCAATGACTTTTGGCCATCGCCTTTGACATTTCTGGTTCTTGTGCTCTTATGTCCATATCACAACTGCTAAATATCTATTACGTCGTCCTCTTTATTAATGCAGATCCATTATTTTCCTGATCACCCCCATCAATTCATACGAGGTTACTCTAGAGAAGTTCAAGCTTTTACTATGTGAATTCACACTCGACATTTCATGCAATTGAAGAGTCCGTCCACGAAACCCTCCTATGGTCTATATAATATCTCCACCCGAGTCGATCTTCGTGAGTCCTACCATGGAGGGCAAACCACACTGCTTCGCATCTGCATGTGCCTTTGGGCCATCGTCTTTAACGTTTCTAATTCTTATGCTCTCATGTCCTCTGGCCTCATCGGCTTCCATATCCACCTTGAATTCAAGCAACGAGAACATCGATCGCCTCGCGCTCCTGTCCTTCAAGTCCCTCGTGTCCGATCCATTCCGAGCATTGGCCTCCTGGAACGATGAATCCCTCCATTTCTGCCGGTGGCGAGGTGTGACATGCCGCAACCAGAGTCATCTGCCGAGGGTCACAGCTTTGGAACTTGAGTCTCTCGACTTGGCCGGTAAGATATCTCCATCTCTAGCCAACCTTACCTTCCTCCGGAGGCTCCACCTCGCCGACAACCGACTTCACGGTCCCATCCCGCAGGAGCTCGGCCTGCTTTCCCATCTTCAACGTCTAAACCTGAGCTCCAACGCTCTAAGAGGTATGATTCCGATGTCGCAACTTCAGAATTGTTTGCACCTTCAGAATCCTGAAAGCTTAGTCACAGCAGCTTCCATGGCACTGTTCAGCAACAACCAACCTCTTCTCTCTCACTGTTGTTGATCTGTCAAACAATCTACTTGTAGGAGCCATCCCACACAACCTTGGCCGCTGCTCAGAACTACAATATATGGATTTGTCAAACAATCTCCTCGAAGGAGAGATTCCCAATGATCTCGGTGCCTTGTCAAAGCTGAAAATTCTCTACCTCGGGGGCAACCATCTTAAAGGAAGCATTCCTCCGGATATAGGGAATCTCGTCAGTCTAAGAGAACTTTATTTGCATGAAAACCAACTCATCGGTTCTATCCCATCTGAGATCGGAAACATGACAAGTTTGACGACTCTTTCTTTGGCTGTCAACCAGCTTTCAGGATCTGTTCCTCTAGAGATCGGGAAGCTTGTCAGGCTTGAAGAACTTTACTTGGACGTTAACCAACTCACTGGCTCTGTTCCTACTTCGATAGGGAACCTCATTTCTCTTGTTTTTCTTGAACTCTCACATAATCAACTTACAGGCGTCATCCCACAAAACCTTAGCCATTGCTCCGAACTACAATACATTTACCTGGGAAATAATACACTTGAAGGAGAGATTCCTAGTGATATCGGTTCTTTGTCAAATCTGAAGCTTCTCGCACTCGGGGGCAACCACCTCAGAGGAAGCATACCTCCAGAAATTGGGAATCTTGTCAGCCTAAGAGAACTTTATTTGCATGAAAACCAACTCACGGGCAAAATCCCATTGGAGATTGGGAACCTTTCGAATCTGACTATTCTTCACATGCCCTTCAATAAGATTTCGGGATCTGTTCCTTCAGAGATTGGGAACCTTGTCAGACTCGAACAACTTTACTTGGATAGCAACCAAATCACCGGCGTCATTCCTGGCTCGATAGGGAACTTGACTTCTCTTATTTGGCTTCAACTCTCGTATAATCAACTTGTAGGAGACATCCCACCCAACCTTAGTCACTGTTCAGAACTACAATATATTTATTTGGAGAATAATACACTTGAAGGAAAGATTCCGAGCGATATTAAATCGTTGACAAACTTGAAAGTTCTCTCCCTTGGGGACAATCGTCTCACAGGAAGCATTCCTTCGGAAATTGGAAACCTTGTGAATTTGAATGATCTCAGTTTGTATAGCAACAAACTCACTGGAATTATACCATCTGAGATTGGAAACCTCGTGAATCTAACTGTTCTCGATTTACTGTCCAATGGCTTTGTGGGCCCAGTTCCTGCAGCGATCGGAAACCTCACTTCCCTCACTTATCTTGGAGTGCAATTCAACAATCTTGGAGGGGTCATCCCACCCTCCATTTGGAACCTCTCCTCTCTCAGAAACTTAGAGCTCGAGAACAACAATTTTACTGGGTCTATTCCGCCGGATATGGGAATCACTCTTCCCCTTCTTAAACGAATACACATCAACGACAACCAGTTTTACGGGCCTCTTCCAATTTCACTGTCGAATGCTACCAACCTCATCGACATTCAACTATATAAGAACAGATTCACAGGCACCATACCCAGAGGTTTGGGATCCTTACAGAAGGTATATCACTTTGATCTTCGTTATAATCAGCTAGAAGCAAGGAATGCTGTCGAATGGGGCTTCCTGGATGATTTAGCCAACTGTAGCAGTCTGAAGTACTTGCAATTGACAAGCAACAATCTCAGTGGCTTCTTGCCGCAATCGATAGGCAATTTTTCTACAACCCTGGAATGGATTGAAATCGACGACAACCACATATCTGGAAGCATTCCTGCAGAGATCGGCAACCTGGTTTCTTTGACCTTGGTTCGGATGAACTCAAACCTTTTCACAGGTAAAATCCCTGCAACAGTGGGAAACCTTTCAAATTTACATATAATGGACTTGAGTAGGAACTGCTTCACAGGAGAAATCCCAGCAACCCTTGGCGATCTAACTCGGCTAATCGAACTCCGCCTGCATTCCAATGAACTGCAAGGTCCCTTACCTCCGAGTCTTGGAAACTGCCCTCTGAAACTCTTGGATCTTTCATTCAACCAGCTAAATGGCACGGTACCCAAAGAAATACTGTCCATCCCCACCCTCACCAGGTTCCTTAATGTTTCCTACAACTCACTGGCAGGATCTCTGACTCCTCAAGTTGGAAACATGAAAAATATTGGTCAATTCGACATCTCTGGAAACAGACTATCAGGTACAATTCCAAGAACCCTTGGTGACTGTCAACAACTCGATAGTCTTGACATGGCAGGGAATTCATTCCAGGGATCAATCCCTTCGTCATTTAGCCAGCTGAAGGGGCTCCAATCGCTGGATCTTTCAAGAAACAACTTGTCCGGGCTCATACCAGAATTTCTTGGGAATTTTCGTTTCTTGAGCTATCTGAATCTCTCATTCAACAATTTTGAGGGTGAGCTTCCAAAACATGGTATCTTCACGAACCTCACTGCGTTCTCCGTACTTGGAAATAGTAAGCTTTGTGGGGGTGTGCAAGCTCTGAACCTGCCTCCCTGCCCCACTCCGTCATCCAGTAAAAGACATTTATCCCGGAAGCTGGTAGCCGCGATCTCAGTTGCCGGAGGAATAATATGCCTAATCTTTCTCCTCGCTTTGTTTGGCATTCATCGTTGGATACGTAAGTCGAAGAAGGAGCCTCGTGCCGCAGACAACAGAATGGTTCCACATATGATGGTCACATATGCCGAGTTGCTAAGAGCTACAGATGGTTTCTCTTCTGCTAATCTCGTCGGCGTGGGAAGCTTTGGTTCTGTGTACAAAGGGTTACTCAATTATGAGGAATACCAACTTGTTGCCGTCAAGGTACTCAACCTCCAACAGAGAGGAGCTTCAAGGAGCTTCGTTGCTGAATGCGAAGCGCTGAGAAATGTCCGGCATCGGAACCTCGTCAAGATTTTAACAGCTTGCACAAGCACAGATTACCGGGGAAATGATTTCAAAGCTTTGCTTTATGAGTTCATGCCGAATGGGAGCCTAGAGAAGTGGGTGCATCCAGAAGCAAACGAGCAAGGTCAGACGCGGGCGTTAAGCCTCATCAAAAGGTTAAATATATTGATCGATGTGGCCTCCGCATTAGATTACCTCCACCACCATGGACCAGAGCCGATTGTCCACTGCGACATAAAGCCAAGCAATGTTCTTTTGGACCATGACATGGTAGCTCACGTTGGAGACTTTGGATTGGCGAGGTTCCTCAACGGAAGCCCCACTGAAGCATCTCAAAGATCTTCTACCTCCATGAACATCAAGGGGTCCATCGGTTACGTTGCACCAGGTACATTGCATTAACCAAGAGCAAAATATGTTATATTTATTTCCCATTACTTGCGCAGTTGTGTTCCTCAAGTTCTTCTCTTTGTACATTTAACCTATCGATTCATCATACAGAGTATGGAGTGGCCAACAAAGTTTCAGTCGAAGGGGATGTCTACAGTTATGGGATACTTCTACTCGAAACACTCACGGGGAAGAGGCCTACCGGTGAAGGTTTCATGGACGGTCTCAGCCTTCCTCGATATGTGGAGATGGCACTCCCGGAGCGGGTCTCCGAAATCATCGATCCAAACCTGCACTTCGAGGAAGGTGAAGCTGCAAATGGTCAAATTCAAGGCACCGATTACATTCGAGACAAAGCAGTGGAGTGCGTGAACTTGTCGCTCAGGATCGGCGTCAGGTGCGCCAAGGAATCCCCACAAGAACGAATGCAGATGCGAGATGTCATCAGTGAATTAACTGCAATCAGGAACGGATGGATCCACCACTAGATTATGATCCGGAATTGGGAAGCACAAGGGATTGTTAGAGAGGTTGCTTGCTCGATCCTTCTGAATAATAATAATAATAAAAGTAGCTGTGTGGTATTTGTTTTCTTTTCTTCTTTTTTTTCTCACTCACCTAATTAATATACGGTGCTTCACAAGCTGGTCCCGTGGACTCAGTTGTATGATACCTTTCTTATGTAGAGTTCATCATTAAACTGCATCAAGCTACTTGGTAACCGAGCGAAAAATCCTTTGTCATTCTAAATTTGTAGTGACCTCAATTGATGGCTGTGAAGAGAACAAACGGTCCACTTAGCGCAACAGATTTCAATCTATATCCATATCCACACAAAAAAGAAAAAGCCCTAAAAAAGATCGAACATGAGGAAAAACGAAAGCCAATGAGAGAACTTAGAATTCCAATGTTAAAAGAACATGAGGATCAGTACAAAATGGGCTTAGCATCCCAAATGCCCACGAAGAAAAACGAGAGCCCGTTAGAAAAGATAACCCTAGCAAGGACACAAAGGAATGCCGCTCCAAAATGAAAGTTCTCTCAGTTGGGACGTGTTATATTTCCCTGCAATATTGTGCGAATAAACATAAGTTTTAAAAGAGCATATATGCTAATTTTAATATTTGTAAAAGACTACATGAAATAAAATTAATGAAAAAAAATACGAGATTGTCCATCACATTCAGCTATAACTAGTACGATAATAGAAAAACAATATATATATATATATATATATATATGTGTGTGTGTGTGTGTGTGTGTGTGTGTGTGTGTGTGTGTGTGTGTGTGTGTGTGTGTATAGTATGCTCCCTGATTAGTGTATTACTCTTAATAGACTCAATCAATAAAAAATATGATCTTTCATTGACATCTTTATTTTTTAGTTGAATCAGATATAAGTTTAATTTACTATAAAATAATAATTGTGTAAATTATAATATTTATAATATATTTTGAAAAGCATATTTTGAAATTATATATTTGTCATGGGATAGGTATGAGCTATATATATATATATATATAATGATGAAAATATATTGTATACATACATATACGATGATATGTGGTGTGGGAGTGTATGTATTTTCTTTGATGTGCGATTTATGAGTGCATGAATATCCTATGACGTGCAGTATAGAAGTATACTTATATATTACAGTATACTTATATATTACAATGACGCGCGATATGAGAATGCATATATATGTTATGATATAGAGTATAAAAGTCTGTAAATTTATAATATTTACTATATGTGTATATAAGTATTTTAAATTATTTTGACATAGAATTTTAACTCTTTATTTTCATATGTTATGTTGTAGGATTATGCTTGCTAAAGAAGTAATAGAATTTAATACAATATACATGATATGATACATGCTCACCTAAATAAAGCTATAAAAGATTATACTTACTAAATCATTACTCACTATAGATCATATTTTTTAGGTAAGAATACTAATACCCCACCCAAGTGATTGGGTAGGGAGTGAGCATGTGTAAGTCCATGACAGCGTAGATATAGACGATGAGCTAAAGACATTTTATGTATATAAATTTTGGATATATTATATTTATGTTTTCTTTTGGTTAGATGTTTAATTATATATTGGTGTCAAAAATACTGTGTGTACAAAGAAAAATCTATCATTTTGTTTAGTAAGTTAGTAAATTTTAATTTTTAATATTTCGTTTAATAAGTTAGTAATTCTTAATTTTTAAGATTACGGACTTTTCATTGTACTCCTATTGATAACAAAAATAAAAATAAAAAATATTTTATTTTATTTTAATCATACATGTAGAATATATGAGTGGAACCACAAGCAAAATATTTGAGCCTGGATCACTTAGTTGAGATATCACAGCAGCGCACGTGAGGTGATAATAGTGCATGTGAGGCTTCTAATACTATTTGTTACTGTCCATCCTAATATGATAATTGACCTATTAATTTATTAAGATTAGATCAATAATTTAAAATATATAAACCAAATTTAATAGTTATACACATATCAAACCTTGATAGATTAAATTAAGTTTGTTTCGATACTAAACCGTGGTATTGCACAAAATCATATATAATTAAAGGTTGCTCGAAGCATTTGATCAACATTTGGCCACGCCTATAAACATCACTATTAACATTTCCTCGGTACACCGACAATGATTTTAATTTTACATCTATATATCGCTTGTAATTTGACCAAAATAATCCTGTAACAAATATAATAAATACTCTTCAAATAGTAGCGATAAGAGAAATAACTATCTTCGAGATCGATGCCAAAAGTCAATTTGTTTATAAATTCTTTCCGGAGTTTATGCAGCAACTTCCGAGATGGTATGGAACGTATCAAATTCACTTGCTCAATCAAATAAAATAATTGGCGTGGTGACGTCCGAAGAGCATAAAGAGAAGATCCAGCAGCAGCAGCAATATGAACTTGCGCTGATCGTGATCACAGTTCACACGCTCATGTGAAACGCAGAACGACCCCCGATTGCGAACTTTGACCAACGACGTCTACGATCTTAAGTAGCCTTACTTGTTTGACCGAAACCGATCACACAAGCAACAAGAAAAGGATATAAATGTTGAGATATGATTCATAGTTATCTATCTAGATTGTTATCATGATCTAGTGGTTACATGATGATTTCAATAACTACTTGATCATGATCTAGTAGTTTCAATAACTACCTTATGATCTAGTAGTTATAGGGTGATTGTCATTAGGTCCTATAAATAGGACCGTAGTTCATCTAGCAAGATATAGAGAAAAAGACAGATAGATAGAGAGTCTGTGTGCACTTGGTATCTTGTAAGTGTTCCTCCTGTTTTTAATACTACAATAGTTTTCTTGAGTCGAAAGGATTCTTTTTTACTCGTATCGTAGTATTCTGTTTTTCCTTGCTCCTCCATCCCCAACATTTGTGGTATCAGAGCCTAGTTTCAATCTGAACTGGGCATTATGGCTTTTAACGGCAATTCCATGTCTCAACCCCTTATCCCAATCTTCTCGGGCAAAAGTTATGAATTTTGGAGTATCAAGATGAAGACTCTATTCAAGTCTCAAGATCTTTGGGACTTAATAGAGAATGGATATGCAGATCCAGATGACGAAATCAGGCTGAGGGAGAATAGAAAGAAGGACTCAAAGGCATTGTTCTTCATTCAACAAGCTGTACATGAGACGATCTTCTCAAGAATTGCAGCAGCGACAACCTCAAAGCAAGCTTGGTTGATACTTCAAAATGAATTTCAAGGCTCATCAAGGGTGATTACGGTAAAACTTCAAACCTTCCGTCGTGAGTTTGAAATTTTATTCATGAAAAGCAATGAATCGGTGCAAGATTTTCTTTCTCGAGTGACTGAAATTGTTAGTCAAATGAAATCTTACGGTGAACATCTTCCTGATCATATAATTGTTGCAAAGGTTTTGAGAAGTTTAACTCCGAAATTTGATCATGTTGTTGCCGCAATTGAGGAATCAAAAGATTTATCTACTTATTCATTTGATGAACTAATGGGTTCCTTGCAAGCACATGAAGTAAGGTTGAACAGGTCACTTGAAAAAGTGAAGAAAAAGCATTTCAGGTTAAGGGAGAGTCTTCTACTTCAAAAGAAGACAAAAAATCAGCAGGAAGAGGACGTGGTAGAGGAGGATTTCGTGGTAGAGGAAATGAAAGAGGAAGAGGACACTTTGATGAACAAGGGCAATCAAATTATAATCAAAAAAATTACAAAAGTGGAATTCAATGTCACTATTGAAAAAAGTTTGGTCACATGAAGGTAGATTGCTGGAAAAGAGAAAAGCAAGCAAGCTATGTGGAGAAAAACGAAGAAAATAGTAAGTTGTTTATGACTCATTCACATGTTCATAATATATCAAATGATATTTGGTTTTTGGATAGTGGATGTTCTAAATTGAGGTGAAGACAAATCAAGGGAAGGTAAAATACCTTGATAATGTTTTCTTTGTTCCTACTTTATCACATAACTTGTTGAGCGTTGGACAATTAGTAAATGATGGATATCAAGTAATATTTGATGATGGTTCATGCACTATTAGAGATAAGAAATCTGGTTTGATTATAGTAAATGTTTGCATGACACAAAACAAGATGTTTCCACTTGATGTGTCAAATATTGAAAGACATGCGTTTATTACAACTCAAAAGAATGAGTCTAGTTTATGGCATTTAAGATATGGACACCTTAACATTAAAGGTTTAAGGTTGTTAAGTCAAAAAGGAATGGTTTTTGGATTGCCTAAGTTTAATACACTTGATGTATGTGAATGATGTATTTATGGTAAACAAAGTAGAAAATCATTTCCTATTGGAAAAGCATGGAGAGCATCTAATTGTCTTGAATTAATTCATGCTGACTTATGTGGACCTATGAATACAAAATCATTTGGTGGAAGTCAATATTTTTTATTGTTTACGGATGATTATAGTCGCATGAGTTGGGTATATTTTTTGAAATTGAAATCTGAAACATTTGATAATTTTCGAAAGTTTAAGGCACTTGTAGAAAGACAAAGTGGTAGATATATAAAGACACTTCGGACAGATAGAGGTGGTGAATTTTTATCTAATGAGTTTAGTTCTTTTTGTGAAGAAAATGGTATTTACAGAGAATTGACAGCACCATATACACCGGAGCAGAATGGTGTAGCTGAGCGTAAGAATCGGACTGTCGTTGAAATGGCAAGAAGTTTGCTTAAAGGAAAACATCTTCCAAATCAGTTTTGGGCAGAAGCAGTTGCAACAACAGTTTATTTGTTGAATATTTTACCAACAAAGGCTGTTATGAATCGAACTCCTTTTGAGGCTTGGTATGGTATGAAACCAAGTGTTAGACATCTAAGAATTTTTGGTTGTATTGCTTATGCTTTAGTGAATTCACAAAATCATCACAAGCTTGATGAAAAATCAGAGAAATGCATTTTAATTGGTTATTCTTTACGATCTAAAGCATATCGATTATATAACTCTGTTAATGGCAAAGTTATTATTAACAGAAATGTTATGTTTGATGAAAGGGCAAGTTGGAATTGGGAGACCAATAAAGGTGAAACACAAATGCAGATTCCAGCAGAATTAGACACTCCGCAGAATCAAGTGACAGATCCTACTCCAACAAATTCATCGTCAACCTCACCCAATAGCAGTTCAAATTCGGATTCTTTAGATGAAACCCCTCCAAGAAATTTCAGATCACTGACAGAAATTTATAACTCAACATTTGCTTTGTTTATTTCAAATCCGAAGGAGGAAATCAAGTCAATTGAGAAGAATGAAACTTAGGAGCTAATGGATCTACCGAAAGAAAAGAAAGCGACTGGGTTAAAATGGATGTTCAAAACAAAATTTAAATGTAAATTATTTGGTTTCACTGATAGTGATTGTGTAGGAGATCGAAAGAGTACTTCAGGCAAGTGGAGCCACAACAATGAAGTATTATGGAACGGATGAACAAGTTACGGATATCCTCACCAAATCACATCCAAGAATATTTATTTTATGTCACAAATTGGAGTATGCAACTATGAATCAAGGGGGAGTGTTGAGATATGATTCATAGTTATCTATCTAGATTGTTATCATGATCTAGTGGTTATATGATGATTTCAATAACCACTTTAATCATGATCTAGTAGTTATAAGGTGGTTTCAATAACTACCTTATGATCTAGTAGTTATAGGGTGGTTGTCACTAAGTCCTATAAATAGGACCGTAGTTCATCTAGCAAGATATAGAGATTGAGGAGAGGAAGATAGAGAGTCTGTGTGCATTTGGTATCTTGTAAGTATCTTTTCAATCCTCCTGCTTTTAATATACATCAGTTTTCTTGAGTCGAAAGGATTCTTTTACTCGTATCGTAGTATTCTGTTTTTTTCTTGCTCCTCCATCCCCAACATTGAGTAGCTAATGGATAAATTTATCGACTTCCTACGACTCAACTCAAAAGATTTTACTTATTCTGAATGACATACTTCATATCAATCAAACCATGTCATAATACCGAATATCGACTTAACATCGAGCCCCACCATTGGCTGATTCACCAAAACTCACAAAAGCTCACCCCAAATAACTAACCGACTATAGTTGAAAGAATATATCATCCACCCGCGAAGTCAAATATGCTAAATAGTGCTTGACCGATACTTTATTTGTATTGGAACCTGCTTACCGACACAATTTCTTCCACAGTAGCAAACCTAACCGCTCTAGCAGGGAACAATTTTAGGGGAGTCATCCCACCCTTCATTTGGAACATCTCCTCTCTCGTGGAGCCTGACCTCCAAAGTTAACCAACATGTCGGGTCTCTTCCACAAGGTACTGACAAGAATCTTCAGTGCCTTCAAAAATTTCTTATGAATGACAATCAACTTTATGGATCACATCCGGATTCATGGTATGATGCTTTCAACTTGGAAGCCATTCAATTAGATGTCAACTTCTCCACCGGCATGATTCCTAAAAGTCTTGGATCCTTACTGATAGTAGATAAGATTTCCTCAATTATACAAGAAAATCTCTACTAATCTGTATACAGGAAAATCTTCTATTATGTTGAGGGAAATTCTCTCTCCTAATCTGTATAAATAGGTCAAGCTTCTTCAAATCGTTGCAGGTTTCTCCACTAAATCGTTGTAGCTTCCTCCTCTACTGCAGCTTTCTCGTCTATTGTAGCATTGTTACAACTATCTCCTCTACTATAGCTATCTCCTCGATTGTAACATTACTGCTCCTCTGCTGTAGCTTCCTCCTCTACTATAGCTTCCTCCTCTGCTACTGTAGCTTTCTCATTTACTGTAGCATCGCTACAGCTTCCTCCTCTGCTGTAGCATCACTACAACATTGTTGCAGCTTCCTCCTCTATTGTGGCTCCTTCCTCTATTATAGCATTGTTATAGCATTCTCCATTGTTGCAGCTTTACTGTAGCCATCGCCGTCGTAGCCACCGCCGTCGCCATCGCAGCCGCAGCAACAACAGCAGCAATATGCTCTTGCCCAACTCACGAAGCCTTTTGCTCGTAAATTGTTTAGTTTACATCGATCCAAGATTGGTATCCTTGACAGTAACACTATCTTGTGGGGGCATGATAGCAGATATGATTTTTCTAATTATACGAAAAAATCTCTCTACTCTGTTGAAGAAAATCTTCTATTCTATCGAGAAAAATCTTTTCTCCTAATATGTATAAATAAGCTTCTTCTTCTTCAATGAAGAAAATCTTCTATTCTATCGAGAAAAAATCTCTCTAATATGTATAAATAAGCTTTCTTCTCCTAGTCAATTTATCGACGACCATGGAATTGCTCGCCGTCCAGAATAACCAAATGGCCGGAAGCATTGCTGCAGGGATTGGGAACCTCACTGGTTTGACTGTACTCTGGTTGTTCGCTAACCTTCTCAGTGGCAATATTCCATCGACGCTGGGAAGCCTTCCAAGGTTAGGACTCCTAGAATTGGGCAAAAACTTGTTCACTGGAGGAATCCTCGGCAATCTTACTGTGCTGAACCAATTTGACCTGAACATCAATAAACTACACGGAATCATTCCACCGAGTCTTGGAAACTGCCCCCTCGAGGTGTTTGGATTCATAATCCATGGCTATACTTCTATTTGGATCGCTCATCCTATAAACTTTTGTTAAATCGTGTTGTGTATTCAAGTCAAGATTTGGAGACAATATTAGAGTGTTTGAGCCGGCTTGGACTTGACTCTAGTTATAAATATTCATGTGTTTAAAAGATATTTTTAATATTTAAATGAATAGGCTCTTTCTCATATGTATACTATTATGAATTGGTTTGCAAATTTTGTCAGATCCAAGTGATAAAATAGGACTCAAAATGATGGTTTTTCCCACTGGGCTCTTCTTTTTTTTCAATGCTCATGTATGAAGATTAGGTTGCATTGACTTGGACACGAAGACAATAGAAGTCATGCTACGTATTTAATGGCGTGCTCCAGTGCCATCAAATATATTATTGGCCTCAAATTTTATTCATGAACATTGGTTTCTCTATAAACTCGAATGGTTGCCTGGTCACAGCCATTTATGATATTAGATATGTTAGAAATTAGCAAGTACAAATATATTTTGATAAAATATATAATTTACTGAAAAACAGAAAAAACAGAAATAAAAAACCTAGAAGCATAATTTACTGTCCTAAGCTATATTTATTGTCATATATATATTTTTTAGGAACATCATCCCAAGATACAATCGGATGTAGATCCATCTACGAGCATGCTCATGAAGGATCATTAAAAATGTCCCAGTACCAACATAAACATAAAATTGAATGTACAAAGAAAAAAAAAGATAGAAATTAGAGATTTTTTCTCATATCCTTTCGTTAACATCTAACATCTTTCATCTGATAAGATGATGTCCTATCGTGACTTTGTTAGACTTATCATCTAATAAAATGATGTCATGTCATGGCTCCATCTAATAAAAAAGTATCGCTGCAATAAGGGTAAAAAGGTAAAATAAAAAAATATATATTTAATCTTTTATGTGTTTGACTAAATCATGTTGTCTATCAAATTAGTTAATGCCTTTGATAGAGAGTTATAAGAAGGAAAAATGATTTTACTCAACTCCGGATGTGAAACTAAAATAAAATTATCTCATTAATGATTACCTTCAACTCTAATTGAGGTATGAAGGTATGCAAGAAAAAATCGAGTTCTCTCGTTAATGTTCCAACAACTTACCGCAACGCTACATATTTATGTACATCATCTTCTCTATCAATTAATTGTCCTTATCACCATCAAACATGTGACTATGGAGGGCTATGATGTATGCAATATCTCTACTCAAGTCGACCTCAGCGAGACCTACTATGGAGGGCTAAGTCATGCTACTTCACATCTCTATTGACTTTTGGCTATCATCTTTAATATTTCTAGTTCTTGCACTCTCATATCCATATCACTAACCGCTACATATTAATGTACATCGTCTTCTTTATTAATGTAGATCCATTACTTGTCCTGATCACCATCAAATCATACGAGGTTACTCTAAAGAAGTTCAAAGTCTTTACCATGTGAATTCCAATATCTCACCCAAGTCGACCTCTATGAGTCTTACCATGGAGGATAACTCATGCTGCTTCTCATCTGAATTAACTTTTGTCCATATCACCTTTAATGTTTCTAGTTCTTAGACTCTCATGTCCATATCACAACCACTACATATTTTTTATGTACATAGTCTTATCTATTAATGCAGATCACCATCAAATCATATAGGGTTACTCTACAAAAGTTTAAGCTTTTACCAAGTCAATTCACACTCAAATATATCAAGCAATATCCTCCCATGATCTATGCAATACCTCCACCCAAGGCGACCTCCATGACTCCAACCATGAAAGACAAACCACACTGCTTCGCATCTGCATGTGCCTTTTCGCCATCGTCTTTAACGTTTCTAATTCTTGCTCTCTCATGTCCTCTGGCCTCATCGGCTTCCATATCCACCTTGAATTCAAGCAACGAAAACATCGATCGCCTCGCGCTCCTGTCCTTCAAGTCCCTCGTGTCCGATCCATTCCGAGCATTGGCCTCCTGGAACGATGAATCCCTCCATTTCTGCCGGTGGCGAGGTGTGACATGCCGCAACCAGAGTCATCTGCCGAGGGTCACAGCTTTGGAACTGGAGTCTCTCGATTTGGCCGGTAAGATCTCTCCATCTCTAGCCAACCTCACCTTCCTCCGGAGGCTCCACCTCGCCGACAACCGACTTCACGGTCCCATCCCCCAGGAGATCGGCCTGCTTTCCCATCTTCAACGTCTAAACCTGAGCTCCAACGCTCTAAGAGGTATGATTCCGATGTCGCAACTTCAGAATTGTTTGCACCTTCAGAATCCTGAAAGCTAAGTCACAGTAGCTTCCATGGCACTATTCAGCAACAGCCAACCTCCTCTCTCACTGTTGTTGATCTGTCAAACAATCTACTTGTAGGAGCCATCCCACACAACCTTGGCCGCTGCTCAGAACTACAATATATGGATTTGTCAAACAATCTCCTTGAAGGAGAGATTCCCAATGATCTCGGTGCCTTGTCAAAGCTGAAAATTCTCTACCTCGGGGGCAACAATCTCACAGGAAGCATTCCTCCAGATATAGGGAATCTCGTCAGTCTAAGACAACTTTATTTGTATGAAAACCAACTCATCGGTTCTATCCCACCTGAGATCGGAAACATGACAAGTTTGACGACTCTTTCTTTGGCTGTCAACCAGCTTTCAGGATCTGTTCCTCTAGAGATCGGGAAACTTGTCAGGCTTGAAGAACTTTACTTGGACGTTAACCAACTCACAGGTAATGTTCCTACTTCAGTAAGGAACCTCACTCCTCTTGTCTTTCTTGAACTCTCACATAATCAACTTACAGGCGTCATCCCACACAACCTTAGCCATTGCTCCGAACTACAGTACATTTACCTGGAAAATAATACACTTGAAGGAGAGATTCCCAGTGATATCGGTTCTTTGTCAAATCTGAAGCTTCTCGCACTCGGGGGCAACCACCTCAGAGGAAGCATACCTCCAGAAATTGGGAACCTTGCGAATTTGATTGTTCTCGATTTGTCAAGCAACAACCTTGAACATTCTATTCCTCCGGAGATCGGGAATCTCGTCAGTCTAAGACAACTTTATTTGCATGAAAACCAAATCATCGGTTCTATCCCATCTGAGATCGGAAACATGACAAGTTTGACGACTCTTTCTTTGGCTATCAACCAGCTTTCAGGATCTGTTCCTCTAGAGATCGGGAAGCTTGTCAGGCTTGAAGAACTTTTCTTGGACGTTAACCAACTCACTGGCACTGTTCCTACTTCAATAGGGAACCTCACTTCTCTTGTTTTACTTGCACTCTCACAGAATCAACTTACAGGCGTCATCCCACACAATCTTAGCCATTGCTCCGAACTACAATACATTTACCTGGGAAATAATACACTTGAAGGAGAGATTCCTAGTGATATCGGTTCTTTGTCAAATCTGAAGCTTCTCGCACTCAGGGTCAACCACCTCAGAGGAAGCATACCTCCAGAAATTGGGAAACTAGTGAATTTGATGGCTCTCGATTTGTCAATCAACAATCTTGAACATTCTATTCCTCCAGAGATTGGGAAGCTTATCCGCCTAAGAGAACTTTATTTGTATGAAAACCAACTCACGGGCAAAATCCCATTGGAGATTGGAAACCTTTCGAATCTGACTATTCTTGACATGCCTTTCAATAAGATTTCGGGATCTGTTCCTTCAGAGATTGGGAACCTTGTCAGACTCGAACATCTTTACTTGAATAGCAACCAAATCACCGGCGTCATTCCTGCCTCGATAGGGAACTTGACTTCTCTTATTTGGCTTCAACTCTCGTATAATACACTTGAAGGAAAGATTCCGAGCGATATTAAATCCTTGACAAACTTGAAAGTTCTCTCCCTAGGGGACAACCGTCTCACAGGAATCATTCCTCCAGAAATTGGAAACCTCGTGAATTTGATTGGTCTCTATCTGTATAGGAACAAACTCGAAGGCTCTGTTCCACGAGGGATCTGGAATCTTGTCAGACTACGTGAACTTATTTTGCAGGATAACAATCTCGCTGGAATTATACCATCTGAGATTGGAAACCTCGTGAATCTAACTGTTCTCAATTTATTGTTCAATGACTTTGTGGGCACAGTTCCTGCAGCGATCGGAAACCTCACTTCCCTCACTTATCTTGGAGTGTCATTCAACAATCTTGGAGGAGTCATCCCACCCTCCATTTGGAACCTCTCCTCTCTCAGAACCCTAGAGCTCGAGAACAACAATTTTACTGGGTCTATTCCGCCGGATATGGGCATCACTCTTCCCCTTCTTGAAGCACTAAACATCAACGACAACCAGTTTTACGGGCCTCTTCCAATTTCACTGTCGAATGCTACCAACCTCTTCAACATTCAACTATACAAGAACAGATTCACAGGCACCATACCCAGAGGTTTGGGATCCTTACAGAAGGTAGATCACTTTGATCTTTGTTATAATCAGCTAGAAGCAAGTAATGCTGTCGAATGGGGCTTCCTGGATGATTTAGCCAACTGTAGCAGCCTGAAATATTTGCAAATAACAAGCAACAAGCTCGGAGGCTTCCTGCCACGATCGATCGTCAATTTTTCTACAACCCTGGAATGGTTTGAAATCGACGACAACAACATAGCTGGGAGCATTCCGGCAGAGATCGGCAACCTGGTTTCTTTGACCTCGGTTCGGATGAACTCGAACCTTTTCACTGGTAAAATCCCTGCAACAGTGGGAAACCTTTCGAATTTACATATAATGGACTTGAGTAGGAACTGCTTCACAGGAGAAATCCCAGCAACCCTTGGCAATCTAACTCGGCTATTCGAACTCCGCCTGCATTCGAATCAACTGCAAGGACCCTTACCTCCGAGTCTTGGAAACTGCCCTCTGAATCTCTTGGATCTTTCAGTCAACAAGTTAAATGGCACAGTGCCGAAAGAAATTATGGCCATCCCCACCCTCACCAGGTTACTTAATGTATCTTACAATTCATTGGAAGGATCTCTGCCATTTGAAGTTGGAAAACTAAAAAATATTGGTGAATTCGACATCTCTGGCAACAGACTATCAGGTACAATTCCAAGAACCCTTGGTGACTGTCAACAACTCGATAGTCTTGACATGGCAGGGAATTCATTCCAGGGATCAATCCCTTCGTCATTTAGCCAGCTGAAGGGGCTCCAATCGCTGGATCTTTCAAGAAACAACTTGTCCGGGCTCATACCAGAATTTCTTGGGAATTTTAAGTTCTTGAGCAATCTGAATCTCTCATTCAACAATTTTGAGGGTGAGCTTCCAAAACATGGCATCTTCACAAACCTCAGTGCGTTCTCTGTGCTTGGAAATAGTAAGCTTTGTGGGGGTGTCCAAGCTCTGAACCTGCCTCCCTGCCCCACCCGGTCATCACATTTATCCCGGAAGCTGGTAGCCGCGATCTCAGTTGCCGGGGGAATAATATGCCTAATATTTCTCCTCGCTTTGTTTGGCATTCATCGTTGGATACGTAAGTCGAAGAAGGAGCCTCGTGCCGCAGACGACAGAATGGTTCCACATATGATGGTCACATATGCCGAGTTGCTAAGAGCTACAGATGGTTTCTCTTCTGCTAATCTCATCGGCGTGGGAAGCTTTGGTTCGGTGTACAAAGGGTTACTCAATTATGAGGAATACCAACTTGTTGCCGTCAAGGTATTCAACCTCCAACAGAGAGGAGCTTCAGGGAGCTTCGTTGCTGAATGCGAAGCGCTGAGAAATGTCCGGCATCGGAACCTCGTCAAGATTTTAACAGCTTGCACAAGTACAGATTACCGGGGAAATGATTTCAAAGCTTTGCTTTATGAGTTCATGCCGAATGGGAGCCTAGAGAAGTGGGTGCATCCAGAAGCAAACGAGCAAGGTCAGACGCGGGCGTTAAGCCTTATCCACAGGTTAAATATATTGATCGATGTGGCCTCCGCATTAGATTACCTCCACCATCATGGGCCAGAGCCGATTGTCCACTGTGACATAAAGCCAAGCAATGTTCTTTTGGACCATGACATGGTGGCTCATGTTGGAGACTTTGGATTGGCGAGGTTCCTCAACAGAAGCCCCACTGAAGCATCTCAAAGATCTTCTACCTCCATGTTATTCAAGGGGTCCATCGGTTACGTTGCACCAGGTACATTGCATTAACCAAGAGCAAAATATGTTATCTTTATATGCCATTACTTGCGCAGTTGTGTTCCTCAAGTTCTTCTCTTTGTACATTTAACCTACCGATTCATGATACAGAGTATGGAGTGGCCAACAAAGTTTCGGTCGAAGGGGATGTCTATAGTTACGGGATACTTCTGCTGGAAACACTCACGGGGAAGAGGCCTACTGGTGAAAGTTTCAGGGACGGTCTCAGCCTTCCTCGATATGTGGAGATGGCACTCCCGGAGCGGGTCTCCGAAATCATCGATCCAAACCTGCACTTCGAGAAAGGTGAAGCTGCAAATGGTCACATTCAAGGCACCGATTACATTCGAGACAAAGCAGTGGAGTGCGTGAACTTGTCGCTCAGGATCGGCGTCAGGTGCGCCAAGGAATCCCCACAAGAACGAATGCAGATGCGAGATGTCATCAGTGAATTAATTGCAATCAGGAACGGATGGATCCACCACTAGATTATGATCCGGAATTTGGAAGCACAAGGGATTGTTAGAGAGGTTGCTTGCTCGATCCTTCTGAATAATAATAATAATAAAAGTAGCTGTGTGGTATTTGTTTTCTTTTGTTTTCTTTTTCCAAATCACCTAATTAATATACGGTGCTTCACAAGCTGGTCCCGTGGACTCAGTTGTATGATACCTTTCTTATGTAGAGTTCATCATTAAACTGCATCAAGCTACACGATAGCCGAGTGAAAAATCCTTTGTCATTCTAAATCTGTAGTGACCTCAATTGATGGGTGTGAAGAGAACAAACGGTCCACTTGGCGCAACAGATTTCAATCTATATGCATATCCACAAAAAAGAAAAACCCTAAAAAAGATCGAACATGAGGAAAAACGAAAGCCAACGAGAAAACTTCAGAATTCGAAAGTTAAAAGAACATGAGGATCACCCTAGCAAGGACACCAAGGAATGCCGGTCCAAAACGAAAGTTCTCTCACTTGGGACGTGCTATATTTCCCCACAATATTGTGCGAATAAACATAAGTTTTAAAAGAGCATATATGCAAATTTTGATATTTGTAAAAGACTACATGAAATAAAATTAATGAAACAAAAAAATCAAGATTGTCCATCACATGCTTTCATGATCCAACATAATAGAATATAGATTGTGTAATGCCTGAGTCTCACACATGTTCAGCTGTAGCTACTATGATAATAGAAGCACAATATATATATATATATATGATCCATACTTAATGATATAATGTCTGATATCTATATTTTATAAATATGATAAATGACATACTTATGTTTTAGACGTTTAAAGTTGAAATACATTTTTTTTTTAATATTATTCTCAATATTTTATGAAATATTAGTTGAGCATACAAAAAATTAATATTTGCTTTATGTATAGTTTACAATAAAATAACATGATCCTTTGGCACAACAAGCCTAAGTGTACTAACGGATTTGAGTATAAGATTAAAGTTATGATAATAAATATACATATAGTAATTAGAAATGACGGTTGAATTTTGTAATCGATCCTAAGTGAATCTTAAGGCTCGAACGAATTTGAATATAATTAAAGTAACAAAGTTTAAATTTTAAATCTCATATATATATATATATATATATATATATATATATATATATATATATATATATATATATATATATAAGATAATAAGTTACTTAAGTATGGATGGTGTAATAAAAAAATTAAATAGAGATACAAATAAAAAAAGAATATTATACTAAATGTTGAGATATATAAGTGAGATCGAAGAATGAGCATAGATAAAAAAAAAAAAATATCTTTATTAAACTAAATTAAACTCAATTGAAGTTGCTGCAACATTAGAATTGTTTTAGTAAAAAGAAATTTGAAATGAGATGTAATGAGATTGAATAATAGACATCAAGATACCCTCTACCTCTACCTTATTTTAGTCATATCTTCTTTACTTATAACTCATGATCATTTCTCTCATTCTTTAGCCATTTTATCAGCTTTATTTATGGAGCTCAAGAAACCCTAACTCTAAAAAAAATTGAGGTAAGAAAAATATATTTTTTTTCTTTACTATATTTAGGATTTTAATTTTATAAATTTCAAATTGATTTTTTTAGCTACTTTTGAGTAACATAAAATTTGAATTTATCTTTAATTTTTGGATATATTTTATATGAATATCTTATGATTCTAAAACCTTTAGTGTATTTGTGCATGGAGGTATGAGTATCCTAATATGAGATACTATTCAAGCTAAATTGGCTCCTCAAGGATATGATTAGGTTTTGAGCTTCTGATATATTTTAAAATATTCCTTTAAGGTTATATAAGATTTGAAATTGAGTGAGTACAACTTCTATGCACTAGGATATGAGATTTATAAGTTCAAATAGTCCTAACTCTATTTCAGCAGAATAGAATAGGTGTTGGTAATAAATTAAGAGGATAGTTTAACCTTCAAATAATTTTATTTTAAGCTAAAATTTGATGTATATTTAGTTTTATGTCTCTTAGTTTTCTATAAAATTTTATGATAATTTAAGATTAGAATAGTGAAGTAAAACTTTTTCACATAATTGTCTGATGGTTTGATTGATACTAACTAATTCATTTGATTATAGAGTAACTATTAAAAAATTAATGGTGAAATCTAGATGTATTTTTAGGTTAAGTATAGTTTATTTTATAAAATATTTTATCAAACTATTTTCATAAATTATTATAGTGAATTATTATAAATCAATAGTTCAAGAGATAAAGTTCTTAATTAAGACATCTTATGATTATGTGCTTCCACTTTGATAAGTGTATTACTCTTTAATAGACTCGATCGATAAAAAATATGATCTTTCATTAACATCTTTATTTTTGAGTTGAATCGAGTAAATATAAGTTTAATTTACTATAAAATAATAATTATATAAATTATAATATTTATAGTATATTTTGAAAAGCATATTTTGGAATGATATAATTGTCATGGGATAAGTATGAGCTATATATATATATATATAATGATGAAAATATATTGTATACATGCATATATGATGATATCTGGTGTGGGAGTATATGTATTTTCTTTGACGTGCGGTATATGAGTGCATGAATATCCTACAATATAGAAGTACACTTATATATTAGTGATGTGAGAGTGCATATATATGTTATGTTATAGAGTATAAAAATCCATAAATTTATAATATTTACTACATGTGTATATAAATATTTTAAATTATTTTGATATAGAATTTTAACTCTTTATTTTCATATATTATATTGTAGGACTATGCTTGCTAAAGAAGTCATAGGATTTAATACAATATACATGATATTATATATGCTCACATAAATAAAGCTATAAAGGATTATACTTACTAAATCATTACTCACTATAGATCATATTTTTTAGGTAAGAATATTAATACCTCACCCAAGTGATTGGATAGGGAGTGAGCATATGTAAGTCTATAACAATGCATATATAGACGATGAGCTAAAAATATTTTATGTATATAAATTTTGGATATATTATATTTATGATTTCTTTTGATTAGATGTTTAATTATATATTGGTGTAAAAAATACTGTGTATATAGAGAAAAACCTATTATTTTGTTTAGTAAGTTAGTAAATTTTAATTTTTAATATTTCGTTTAGTAAGTTAGTAAGTCTAAATTTTTAAGATTACGGACTTTTCATTGTATTCCTATTGATAACAATAATAAAAATAGAAATATAATATTTTATTTTAATCATACATGTAGAATATATGAGTGGAACCACAAGCAAAATGTTAGAGCTTGGATCACTTAAGTTGAGATATCACAGTAGTGCACGTGAGGTGATAATAGTGCATGTGAGGCTTCTAATACTATTTGTTGCCGTCCATCCTAATATAATAATTGACCTATTAATTTATTAAGATTAGATCAATAATTTAAAATATATAAACCAAATTTAATAGTATACACATATCAAACCTTGATAGATTAAATTAAGTTTGTTTCGAAACTAAACCGTGGTATTGCACAAAATCATATATAATTAAAGGTTGCTCGAAGCATTTGATCAACATTTGGCCACGCCTATAAACATCACTATTAACATTTCCTCGGTACACCTACAATGATTTTAATTTTACATCTATATATCGCTTGTAATTTGACCAAAATAATCCTGTAACAAATATAATAAATACTCTTGATTCAAATTGTAGCGATAAGAGAAATAACTATCTTCGAGATCGATGCCAAAAGTAAATTTGTTCATAAAATATTTCCGGAGTTTATGCAGCAACTTCCGAGATGGTATGGAACGTATCAAATTCACTTGCTCAATCAAATAAAATAATCGGCGTGGTGACGTCCGAAGAACATAAAGAGAAGATCCAGCAGCAGCAGCAATATGAACTTGCGCTGTTCGTGATACACAGTTCACACGCTCATGTGAAACGCAGAACAAACCCCGATTGCCAACTTTGACGGACGACGGCTACGATCTTAAGTAGCCTTACTTGTTTGACCGAAATCGATCACAGAATCAACAAGAAAAGGATATAAAATCATTAGCAAGGCCATGTTCGATGGTCCCGTCGTCTACTAACTTTGAGAAACAGTGGGCTTTTTGTTCTTATTGACGTTAGCTGTTCAACGATTCATTGAGAGTTCGGTGAAAGGAAACACTTTTCGGTCTCAATTCATCGGCAACATATAGTTTAGTGATAACATACACCATGATTCAATTGCTAAGGAGATATCACCATTGGAGTGACGACGGACTCCGTACAGCAAAGGCAAAGCGATCGAAAGTTGAGGGCGACGGCGACATAATGGGGAAAGAGGTCCATGGATCGGTAGTTGGAAGTCAAATGGCTGCTACCACTGCAATGTATACCCATGCATCGTCATCGTCGAGCTGTTCTTGTCTTCATCTGTGGCAATCATCTTATCTTTCCAGAAACAGGAAACTAATAAACTTGTCATGTTTGCTGTCCGAGCGCATCTTTTTCATCTTTTCAGGGAAAAAAAAATCTCGTGTTGCTGCAACACGCAGAAAGTTCTGCTGCCATTTTTTATTTTTTTTCTGGGACGCGAGTCAACATAGCTATTAGACAATGACAAAAGCTCGTAATAAATAGACTCACACAACGGAAGGGCGAAACTGTTTAGCTGGCAGTCCTGCGCTTTATCAACTCATAGTCCATCATCATCTCATTTAATCGAATCCTAATTTATATTAAAAAAGTATAGATATTATATTTTAAATTTTATAAAAAGAGATAGAAAAAGATATTAACGAGATAGTTTTTGATAGTGGGATTATAAAGAAAACGAGGATAATAAGAAAGAAAAAGAAAAAGAAAAAGAAGAAGATAACCACAACATGAAAAAACTGTTTTGCTTCACGCTACTGTACTACCTGCCGCGTTAGTACTTGAGAGGGAGTTAGTGCGTGCGTCAAAAGTTCCATCGCGTCAAACAAATTGATTTAAAGTTGTTTCTCTCGGACCTATATATACAGCATCGATGGCATGGCTGCTCAAGCAACTCCAATCACCGCTCTTGTTCTTCTCAATACCCGAATGGAGATCAAACGGCGTAGCTCCGTAATTGGGTCCTGCAGCTTTCTCCTTGTTTTGCTCCTGTCTGGCGTGGGCTTCTCGGCTTCCCAACCTGAGACTGCCGCCGCCGAGGCCACCACTGACCGCCTCGCCCTCCTCTCCTTCAAGGCCCTCATCTCCGACGATCCATCCCGAGCGCTGGAATCCTGGAACACTACGTCCCTCCATTTTTGCCGGTGGCGAGGCGTGACGTGCGGCAACCACAGTGGCCAGCTGAGGGTCACCACACTGGAACTGGAGTCCCTCGCCTTGGCCGGTAAGATATCTCCATCCATAGCCAATCTCACCTTCCTCCAGAGGCTGCACCTCCCACAGAACCAACTTCAGGGTCCCGTTCCACAAGAGCTCGGCCTGCTGTCCCGCCTTCAGCATCTCAACCTTAGTTACAACAGCTTTCGCGGCACTGTTCCGACGACAATAGCGAACCTCTCCTCCCTTATCCTGCTTGATCTGTCCTATAATCAACTTGTAGGAGCCATCCCACACAACCTCAGCTCAGAACTACAGTATATAAATCTGTCAAATAATACCCTCGTAGGTGGGATTCCCGATAATCTTCGCTCCTTGTCAAAGCTGAAGCTGCTCGCCCTGAGCGGCAACAACCTCACCGGAAACATTCCTCCAGAAATCGGGAGCCTTGTAAATTTGACTGTCCTCGATTTGTCTATCAACAATCTTGAAGAATCTATTCCTCTAGAGATTGGAAATCTTATCAGCCTTAAAGCGGTTTACCTGGATTACAATAAATTCACCGGCGTTATTCCTGGCTCGATAGGGAACCTGACTTCCCTTGTTTGGCTTCAGCTCTCGCAAAATCAACTTACCGGAGCCATCCCTCGCAGCCTCAGCCATTGCTCAGAACTACAATATATTTTCCTGGGAAATAATATGCTTGAAGGGGAGATTCCCAGCGATATTAGTTCCTTGTCAAACCTGAAAGTGCTCTACCTGTGGAACAACCGCCTCACAGGAAGCATTCCTCCAGAAATCGGGAACCTTACGAATTTGACGAATCTCAATTTGTATAGCAACAGACTTGAAGGCTCTGTTCCGCGGGAGATTGGGAATCTTGTCGGACTAAGAGAAGTTCTTTTACATGACAACCAACTCACCGGAAGTATACCATCTGAGATTGGAAACCTCGTGAATCTACGTACTCTTGCTTTGTTGATTAATGGCTTTGTGGGTACAGTTCCACCAGCAATTGGAAACCTCACTTCTCTCACTTATCTTGGAGTGTCAATGAATAATCTTGGAGGAATCATCCCGCCTTCCATTTGGAACCTCTCCTCTCTCAGAACACTAGAGCTCCAGAGCAACCAATTTACCGGGTCTATTCCGCCGGATATGGGAATCACTCTTCCCCTTCTTGAAGAACTAGACATCAACGACAACCAGTTTTACGGGCCTCTTCCGATTTCACTGTCGAATGCTACCAACCTCAACAACATTCAACTATACGAGAACAGATTCACAGGCACCATACCGAGAGGTTTGGGATCCTTGCAGCAGTTATTTCACTTTGATGTTACTTATAATCAGCTAGAAGCAAGAAACGCAGCCGAGTGGGGCTTTTTGGATGATTTAGCCAACTGTAGCAGTCTGAAGTACTTGCAATTGACAAGCAACAATCTCAGTGGCTTCTTGCCGCAATCGATAGCCAATTTCTCCAATTCCTTGATGTGGTTTGAAATCGATGACAATAACATAGCCGGAAGCATTCCCGCAGAGATCGGCAACCTCGTTTCTTTGACCTCAGTTCGTATGAAGTCTAATCTTCTCACCGGTGGCATTCCTGCAGCACTGGGAAGCCTTGCAAAGCTACAGATAATAGACCTGAGTGGGAATCGCTTCACAGGAGGCATCCCCGCAACCCTTGGCAATCTGACAAAACTTACCGAGCTTCAACTGTACTCTAATCGACTTCAAGGACCCATACCTCCAACTCTCGGAAACTGCCCTCTCGAACTCTTGGACCTTTCATTCAACCAGCTAAATGGCACGGTACCCAAAGAAATACTGTCCATCCCCACCCTCACCAGGTTCCTTAATGTTTCCTACAACTCACTGGCAGGATCTCTGACTCCTCAAGTTGGAAACATGAAAAATATTGGTCAATTCGACATCTCTGGCAACAGTCTATCAGGTACAATTCCAAGGACCCTTGGTGACTGTCAACAACTCGATAGTCTTGACATGGCAGGGAATTCATTCCAGGGATCAATCCCTTCGTCATTTAGCCAGCTGAAGGGGCTCCAATCGCTGGATCTTTCAAGAAACAACTTGTCCGGGCTCATACCAGAATTTCTTGGGAATTTGAAGTTCTTGAGCTATCTGAATCTCTCATTCAACAATTTTGAGGGTGAGCTTCCAAAACATGGTATCTTCACGAACCTCACTGCGTTCTCCGTACTTGGAAATAGTAAGCTTTGTGGGGGTGTGCAAGCTCTGAACCTGCCTCCCTGCCCCACTCCGTCATCCAGTAAAAGACATTTATCCCGGAAGCTGGTAGCCGCGATCTCAGTTGCCGGGGGAATAATATGCCTAATCTTGCTCCTCTCTTTATTTGGCATTCATCGTTGGATGCCCAAGTCGAATAAGGAGGCTCATGCCGACGGCATAAAAGTTCCACATATGATGGTCACATATGCCGAGTTGCTAAGAGCTACGAATGGTTTCTCTTCTGCTAATCTCGTCGGCGTCGGAAGCTTTGGTTCTGTGTACAAAGGGTTACTCAATTATGAGGAATACCAACTTGTTGCCGTCAAGGTACTCAACCTCCAACAGAGAGGAGCTTCGAGGAGCTTCGTTGCTGAATGCGAAGCGCTGAGAAATGTCCGGCATCGGAACCTCGTCAAGATTTTAACAGCTTGCACAAGCACAGATTACCGGGGAAATGATTTCAAAGCTTTGCTTTATGAGTTCATGCCTAATGGGAGCCTAGAGAAGTGGGTGCATCCAGAAGCAAACGAGCAAGGTCAGACGCGGGCGTTAAGCCTTATCCACAGGTTAAATATATTGATCGATGTGGCCTCCGCATTAGATTACCTCCACCACCATGGTCCAGAGCCGATTGTCCACTGCGACATAAAGCCAAGCAATGTTCTTTTGGACCATGACATGGTGGCTCATGTTGGAGACTTTGGATTGGCGAGGTTCCTCAACAGCAACCCCGTTGAAGCATCTCAAAGATCTTCCACCTCCATGATATTCAAGGGGTCCATCGGTTACGTTGCTCCAGGTACATTGCTTTAACCAAGAGCAGAATATGTTATTTCTTTATGCCATTACTTGCGCAGTTGTGTTTCTCAAGTTCTTCTCTTTGTACATTTAACCTATCGATTCATGATACAGAGTATGGAGTGGCCAACAAAATTTCAGTCGAAGGGGATGTCTACAGTTATGGGATACTTGTACTCGAAACACTCACGGGGAAGAGGCCTACCGGTGAAACTCTCAAGGACGATCTCAGCCTTCCTCGGTATCTAGAAATGGCACTCCCGGAGCGGGTCGCTGAAATCATAGATCCAAACCTGCTTCTGGAGGAGGGTGAAGAACCTAATGAATGCACTCGAGACAGAGCAATGGAGCGCCTGGCGTTGTCACTCAAGATTGGCATCAGGTGCGCCAAGGAATCACCACCCGAGCGAATGCAGCTGGTGGATGCCATCAACGAATTAACTGCAATCAGGAACGCGTATTTGGAGCTTAGTAAACAGGGTAGGAGAACCCAACTCAGAGACGAGGATCCAGTTCTAGATTAAACTGTTTCTGAAGCCAAATCCAGCAGTAGCGAAGGCAAGTTCATGGAAGCAGCTTTGCTAGATTTGTCATTTGTGCCAATTGATATCTTTCATTTCCCTTGGAAGGCATCAGCATCAACAACGTCTATTGTAATTGTTAGTTTGGTAAGTCGCATAATCCCATATCGAAAAAATTATATTTATTATCTCCTATGGAAACCTATAAATAAGGACATGAGTTTTGAAGTTAGATGTACCATAAGAAAAACCTAAGTGTTTGTTTTGGGTTTAAGTCCATACTCAATTAAATAGTTTGGGCTTATAGTTTGGATTTTTCTTATTTAATAGATTCGGATGTTTTATGACATAGGAACATCTTTTAAGACATTTGTAATAGTCCCTCTTTTATAGTAGTGATTTCTCTTTTATAGTAGTGATTTGTTCCTCCTGGATGTAAGTCAATTGATCGAACCACATAAATCTGATGTTCTTGTCGCTTTTATTCTTTCTACTTTATTATCTTTGTTGATCGTCAAAATTATCCTTTGTTAAATTTGTTGTGACTAGTTTTAAGTAATTGCTTCCTAAGTTTTGAGTTATGCGATGTTCAGTGGCAATTTTGAAAACCAAAAGAACACAGTTTTAAGGCATAAAATGGTAGTGACGTCTTTTTCTTTCTTCTGTTCGTTGCCATTTATCTGAGCAAAACGCAGAAGAAAGAATAAAAATTATTCCGGTGATTTTCCAATATTGTTGACTCTACTTGAGAAATCATGATCGATGTCCTATTTTCTTACCAAATTTATTTATCTCTTTGTCCATTTTTTTTTGAAATATTAATTGCGTTTACTATGTCCCACCAGCTGTGACCCACCCGGGTTGGGCCATGTCAGGTTCGGCTCGATACGTTCGACTGTCTAAACCCTGTGTTGAGTCGTATCTGAACCTAAATTGAACCGACCTGAATTCAAGCTAGATCGAGTTGAATTGGGTTCGACCACACGCTGGGCCCACCGCTTGTGCTAGCCACCTGGACATCATCTAATTTTAAGTACTCGGTTAAATATTCCCCCGAAGACCACTCGTTTGTTCACCGCGCGCCCGCCACATGTTTTTTAATATTCCCGCGATATTTTGAGCCACCGCGTATACATTCACCCGCCCGCTTTACATTAGAGGGAAAGACAATCACTTCCCAATCAAAATTTCTGCTTCCCACCGCTCTCTCCTTGCCGCCTCCTTCACATATCCTTCTCCCTTACCGCGACTCATCCGTCCCCCATCGGTTGTTTCTCAACCTCATTTCTCCTCTCCATCTCTCAGGCTTCAGCTTCTCGGTCTCTTTTAAGTCCGGATACTCATGGAAGGCAGCAGCTTCCACGAATTACCTCCCTCCAAGAGATTCAAGCTTCTTCACCCCCATGAGCACTCCCATCGCTCAGAACCTTACAACCTCAAATCCCTGCCTGCAAAGAAACGGTTGGACTCGTACCATTACCAACCCGCCACCTCCCCCTGCCTCCCAGCTAAGAAGAGGGTCTGGGCTCCCCACCCCACTTTCCCTATCGACCTCAACAGCCCCCCGCTCTCCGATGATCAACCGCTCGAAGAAAAGCACAGCAAACTAGCAACAGAAGAAGAAGAAGAAGAAGCGGAGGGGGAGGAAGACGACGGGGTCATATGTGCCGTGTGCAGGAGCACCGATGGGGACCCGCTCGACCCAATCGTCTTCTGCGACGGCTGCGATCTCATGGTCCACGCGTCCTGCTACGGCAGCCCCCTGATCAACAACATTCCTGAAGGTGACTGGTTCTGCTCACGATGCGAGCAGGAAGCGAAGGAAGAGGAAAAGGATTCCAGCTGCTGCCTCTGCCCCGTGAGGGGCGGGGCAACGAAGCCCACGGAGGACGGCCGATGGGCTCACATCGTGTGCGCGTTGCTCGTGCCCGAGGTCTTTTTCCGGGATCCTCAAGGCAGAGACGGCATCGATTGCTCCCGGGTCCCCAGCAGGCGGTGGAACAGGGACTGCTATCTTTGTGGGGCCACAGGCGGGTGTGCCATCGACTGCTCGGAGCCAAAGTGCAAGTTGGGGTTCCATGTCGGTTGCGGCCTGGAACGGGGACTCTGCTTTGAGTACAAGGAGCGTCGTGGAGCGGCCATCGTTGCAGGATTCTGTGCAGACCATACCGAGCTTTGGAAGAAGGTAATCAAAACGTTTCTCATCTCTTTCCTTTCTATTTCTCTGTAACATTTGCAAGTGTTCTTCTATTGCTTTCCCTGACAACGCTCTTTATGATTTCACAGCAACAGTTGACTGGAAAGTTCAAGATAGTGGCAAGGGATGATGATCGCCAGGGAAAGAAGAAGGCTTGACGCCGGTGCAGTGTGCCGGATATGACTTTGTTATCATCTACTAGTTGGCACTATTTTCTTTCTTTGTATTTTTCTGAATTTGAACGGTTTGTGTTGGCAAGAACTGTAGTAGTAATGGAGCTGTCATAGGTCCTTTGAGTTGTATTATTGTTTCCTGATCAATTAATTATGACATCAGCTTAGTGCTCAATCAAACCTAACCATGGGGATGTCTAGAGAGAAAATGATCCAAACGAAGCTTTTTAATTTGTTATTTTAAATCATATTAGTTATATACATTGTGTCCATGATTTGGAATCGGAAATATTCTAGCTGGTCTCTCCTTACAAATGGAATTCTTATTAGATGAGGCACTCATAAGAGCCTTTTTCGTCAAAATTTAAAGAAATACTTTAATATAAGAAGTATTAAGGGGAGTGAACTCCTTTACGAAGGAGTACAATCTCCATAAGGTTTATCTTCTCGAGGTTAGTTGTTAGAAGTTACTGAGTGAAAATCGTTTTTTCTTATTCGACTTCTTCTCTTCATCTTTTTTTTCTTCTCGATGATTAAGGATTCAGTTAGAATATATTGATTGAACTTTTGAAATAGTTTTCAATAGGTAATCGTGGCTCCTTGATGATTAACCAAAAAAATTGAGATGACTAGATACGGGTGATGAAGGCATTAATATGTGAAAGAGTTCATTCAAATCATTGTTAAGAATATAAAGATTTTAAAGAATCAAGTCATTCGTTTGGTTAAGGTGCTTTAAAAAATGAAGAAATTACTTAGGAGTCAAATAAGAAAATTAAAAAAACTTTCCTTCATCCTTTCATTGATTGAGATACGATAGTTTAGAGGACTAAATTTCAGACAAGAGTGTAATATCATTTGTTTATTAATTATTTATGATACCAATTTTTTATAATATTTAATTATTTTGATATAGAATTTTATATAATTATTGTTTGAATCATATAATTTTATATGATTCAAACTTGATAGTGATTTGTGAAATTTTCATGATAAGTTAGTTAGTGCAGTGTAATATCTTTTATTTCTTAATTGTTTATGATATCGATATTTTTTTTATAATATCTTAATTATTTTAATATGAGAATTTACTTAATAATTTCTTAAATTATATAATTTTATCTTAGAAGATCAGTGTTTTGGATCTAATTATGAATCCTAGGACTTAATAGGGTTTTTCAAAAAATTTCATGATAAGTTAGTGGAAAAAAATAATCGCATATGACTAGCAAACGAATGAGGGTGCCACCTCATGCTTACTCTATCACACCGAATGTTATTTGCTGCATGGCGAAATTGTCCTCACTTCCTCGGTGAACCCTAAAAGTTCACCATCTTGTTGTTGTACAACCACGAGAGAAGTGGTTGATTTTTTCTAGAGTTTATAGCTGATGTAATTGAGTTTAAACTCTTTAGTTAACTGGTTGAATAAGCTGATTGAGATAGGAGATGATCGAGTGAACCACTCTCGTGTTGCTCTTTGAGACTACTTGGGAAAGATCAACACATGATGATGTCATTTAAGCGATAAAGGTTGTAACCTTAGATTGTGATTCCGGAATCGTCGGTTCCGATTTTCCAAAACCTTAGATTGTGATTGAGCGATTATGTTTTGAATAATTAATTTTTATTTTTATTTTAAAATAAAATAATTAATATATATTTTTATATATATTTATAACTATTATTTTTAAAAATTGAAAAGTAGATATATGACTATACTAAGTGTAATAACATTAAAAAAATTGATATAAAAAATAAAAACTATAAAATTTTAATCAAATAAATGATGTTATCAAGATTAAACCCAAGTTTATTGGTTTTAAACTAATACATTATCACAAGCCCGTTTCATGTTATATTTTTATTTTTTATTATACTTAATAGGTTAGTGATAAGGGACCACCAGATCAGAATTGGTACAGTCTTTGGTTCTCATATTCCTCAACCATTGTAGGCTCAGGGCCCTACAGTGAGCGCCAATTTGAGAAGGGACTCAGGCCAGCATTGGTGCAACCCGTAGGCATACGAGGAATTGTCCGCTTTGGACAATTTGGATCGGAGCCCATGAGCTCTAAAAAACGCATCTGAGGGTAAGAGAGACCTGGCGGAGCTACGAGCCCTTGATTCCTATACTTTTCAACCAATATGAAACTAAATGACCTTATCAGTTAGCAACTATAATCATTAATTTTGATTTTTCAAAATAAGAAATCGTCGATTCAGTTTGGAACCAATCAATTCGCTTATGGTTTGGGCTGAAGGACATGCCTATTTATATGAGTTTGAATTGTTATTGTAAGTCTCTAAAGTAGAGAGTGAAATCATTAGATTCCTCACACGATGGTTCAGGTGAATAGAGATTGTTCATTTGGTTCGAATCAGTCAATCAGTGCTCCCATTTCTCACATCGAGACGTTTGTCCATATTGGAACAATTGATTCCTAACTTCTAAGGCAAGTCCTGCCATATAATGCATATCTGATTCTTTTGGCAACTTGGACTCCCATATATGTTGATTGGAATCATTAGATGTGTTTAATATAAATAATCAATATCTCGTAGATGATCATTCTTGATGTGAAAGGTTGATCGATGGCAACCTCCATCTTATAGGAACCTCTCCCCAAAAAAGACAATCTTAATTTCCTCCAAAACTAAATTAGTCAAGAATTATGTTCATTATTTTAATGGTATCATATTTTATTTACTCTAAACTAAATGTGAAACCACACCAATTATGATTATTAACCATAATCATTAATTTTAATTCCTAAATCGATCGTGCAAAAATTCCCTTTTGGGACTTTTTAGGTTCAGTGTGTAATGACTTAAAAATATTGTTAGGAATATTTTACATGTATTTAAAATTACGAATCTTTTGGACCAAATATTAGTAATCCATATAGAAATTTGAAAGAAAGAAACGCGTGAAACGTTTGCTAGCAGAAAAATCACTTGAGAAAAAGAAGAATATGTGATGAAATTCTAATGGCAAGTAAATATAATTATCTTAGTTTTCTTTTCAAAATCATAAATGATACGCACCTCTCTGTCAAAATTTATTTCCTAAGTTTTAGTACCGACGTATCTCATCATTCAATATTTATTTTCTATTTTTAAATACTATAATTAGAAATAATTTATTTCAATTCTATTTAAAAATAATTTAATATGGAAGAATTTCTTTACATTAATTTAGATTCTCTCTTATCTCCTATATAATAAACTCAGGCAAAATGACACCTTATTCCTTTTAGTTGGTATTGGAGGAATTATACTTCAAGTACATGCGAGTTGTTGGTGAAGGCACAGCTTCTCGCCTATGGAGATTGTATGTATTCTAATTTTTTTTTCTTTTAATTTAATTTTTGAAATAATTGATCAATGCTTTGATTGCTTAAAATTTCATGAAATTTTGATATTTATTAATTTTAATTTTTTTTTCTAAAAAGGTGATACATATTCTAGATTCTAGTATTGTTAATATTAATTTAATTATTTTAAATTTTGTATCATGGCTAATAAATTGTAAATCATATTCAATGATGATCATATACTGATTAGATTGTGCATTGTGAAAAAAAAACATTTATTTTACTTTAAGAAACATTAGATTTAACCCCAATGATTGTGGGGTTGAGTCCAAACCTAATCGATTTAGGTTAGTTCAAGTTAGTGTTGGGTTATTCTAGATTGACTCAAATCTATTTCAGGATGGTTTTGGATGAGTTCAGGTCAGTTCAAGTTCAAGTCAGTTCGTCTTCAATCCATCCAAGCTGCTTTAAATCAGGTTGATTTAGAGCCAATCTTAGGATTTGGTGGGCTCGATATCACTTTATCTTTTTGTTTAGAAAATTTAAGAGATTTTATTTGATGTTGTATGATGAATTTGGATACTTATTTAGAGATCAATCGATCTTAAATTTGACTATTAATTTAAATCAAGTTCATATTAAGATGCATATGTACCATCTATATGTATCACTATCAAATTGTCTTATAAATGGATATATGGATGAATGAAATTATAAACGGAGGAATGCGATATTTGATGTTATATGTGATAACATTATTTTCTCGCCAAAGATAGATAGGTTGTTACTAGTATGATGATTCTCTTCAGAGATTTATAGACCATGAGAAGTAATAGTTAAACGATTACTTCATTCATTGTTGGGAGAATAAATCTATTTCATGTAATTAATTATGATAATAGATATATTGTTGAACAATGTTACTATGGTTTATGTCTATGTTATGTTGAGATTAATCGTTTATTTTCAAATAAAGTTTAGTTTATGGAGAATTATACTTTTAAAATTTAATTTATGAGATTCCTATTTACTATGTATGGCTGTTGAAATATTTTTCTAATATTTATTTTCAAAATAATCTTCTGATAGTGATAGATCGAAGAAGACTTGGGTGAAAAGGACTTTTCTCAGTCTTTTCTTCTTCTTTTTTTAATGGCGGACTGGTCAAAGCTCTCGATAGATATCTCAAGTCTAATTCATGGTGAACTCTCCGTTCTTGATTGCATACGTGTCGGAGCCGTTTGCAAGCAATGGAACTTTGCCTGCAAGTTAAAGTACCATTGTCCTACGAAGAAGCCACAATCCCCTTGGCTGGTGTTGCCTGGTGAGTGCGATTCCACCACCATCAAGTTCTTTTCTATTCTCGAGAAGAAGACATACAAGATTCCATGCCCGGAACCTATGATCCATCGAAGGGTCTATATTGGTTCCGGTCATGGTTGGCTGGTCACCGTGGATGACATCTGCAACATGCACCTTCTAAATCCACTCACCGGTGCCCAGATTCCGCTCCCTCCGGTGACGACCTTACCCTTCGTCAGCGCTCGCCACAATTCCCACGGACAGATCATCGAGTTTGTCGTGGAAGTACCATACGGGGCTAACATAATCTCAACCTTGGTGTTCTCCTTCGAGCGCATGCGGTGCATCTTCTTCCAGAAGGCAGTACTCTCTGCAGCTCCTGATGTAGACGACAATTGCTTGATCATGATGATTTGCAATAACTGGAAACATCTGGTCGTTGGTCGAGCTAGAGGCGAGGCTTGGAAGTGCATAAGCTTGTATCATCACTACACTAACATCATTCATCGCAAAGGCAAGTTCCACTCGATCAGTGACACTGGAATAGTTGAGGTATGGGAGCACGATGGATTGATCTTGAGGCCTCGGATCATCGGCTCAAAAATTCGATATTTTTTGAATCAGTTCATGCATTACTTGGTCG